AACCCCTGCCTATCTCACTGTCTGAATACATCACAGAACGAGAAACCCGCCTCTGTGCTTTAGTTACCACTCAAATGACGCCTGATCCCCAAAACCACTCCACTGGATTGGCCGATCAGCACCGACACTCATGACTGTGAGCTCAAGACTCCAGAGATGGGGCACACTCCTTCTTCCTTCCTCCTCTGACCTCATCTAAGAAGTGATGCACACTGAGCCTTCAAAGGCTACTGTCAGCCTTTCTCTTTGCGCTACCACGACTCTGTTCCCACAGGCAACACTAATGACAGACAGATGGGTGCACAAACTGTCACCGCCTTCCCTGTCAACACGCACCAGAGCCATCCTCCATGACTCTTACATAAAGGCATGAGAGGGGGGCAGACACCACATATATTCATCCTACAGCTGAACTTGACACCAGTTTACAGCACTAGGCAAACAGGGTGCTGTTAAGACACACCCCAGCACTCCCAAGCGGATTTGCTCCCCACCCATCCCGCCCTTATGACTTGCGATGCCACCAGAGCCCAGGCAGGCTTGTCTGTGACAGCCGCCCCTGCGCCACAAATCTCAATCCCTGACTCTCTTTGACTCTGACCTTAATTCGGCTTCAAACTCTTGATCCCGCCATTAGCAAAATGCTCCTCTGCCTTTCTGACGCAGAGCCTGTCTCCAACACTGAGCTTGATTCCATCCCTGACTTGAAACACCTTTACCTGGTGCGCTCTTCTTTGCGTGTCGTCACGGGCATTCTCTCGTATGTCTCAGACGCCCGCACTTCACCTGCGTTCGTGTGCCTCAGAGCCAGGGGGTGATGCTCATGCACGCCCATGACTCACCTTACAAAAGCCACAAGGGTTCAGTGCAACACACAATGCACTAAAACAAGCGCATATTGGCCAAACATGCAAAAAGATGTAGCAGACTACATCAAAACCTGTAAGGTTTGCTGCCAGTCTCAACCAGCAAAACCATCACACAGAGCCTCCTTACAACGGAGAGGCATTTCTTTTCCCTTGTCAAAGACACAATTTGACAGGAGGGAACCCCAAACTGAACCAGCCAGAGGAAATAAACATTTCCTCGCAGGCAAAAATAATTTAGACAGCACACAAGATGCAAAGTCTATAACGACCAAAATGCGTCTCACAACAAGCTCCGAAGGGGGGACAGAGTTGTCATCACATCTCTGCTCCACTAAGGAAACAGACGGCCAGAGAACAGGAAGACTTGCACACAAGTTCTCTCCCCACTGGACCGATCCTTCTGTGGTCACAGACAAACATTACCTGGTCTGGACCGAACTAAGCTTCACAAAAATCCCATGGGACTTGTCGGGACCGATAACGTCCTAATAAATTAATAATTCAGAAATCCTCAATTAGACGATAGCTGCTAGTGGTTAAAAGGTCATTAGAGTTCGCGTGTGTGCCTTGTAAACAGAACTTGGAAGCCAGGTATCTTTTACTTCGGTCCGCACCCACAGCTCTAGCCACTATTCTGTGTCTCCCTGTTGCAATTTAAACCTCCACTAAATTACCAGTGGAGTCTTTAACCAATTAAATTAGAATTTCCAAAAATTTCCACCACCAGGTGGAGCCGCTCTCAACCTGACCACTTAGTCACAAGTGGGGTTACTGTCTAAATTTATTGCTCCTTTAACCAATTAAGAATACTGCCCAGAGCAGACATCTTGCAGCAACTGCAGAAATAGAAACCACTCAGAACAGTTCCTCTCAGGACTAAAAGCCGCTTCTTTTTATAAAATTTTTTGAAAGGGCTAAGACCCTCAGACTAGACTGTTAGCCTAAACAAACCTCAAGCTCACTGCAGCTTATGGTTCTGAATATCCATGAATTTCTGAGAAAAATAATGTTGGTCATGCTCACACACGACTTGTCAATTTGTTAAGATATTTGTTTTGCTTCCCAAATTAATTTTCCGCTTTGCTTTGTTGGTGATTAAGTAACACAGCAGGCACCTGCTACTTTCAGACTAGCTAATTGGGGTTACCCTAAGTGACTAGCAGAATTAGTAGCCTTAGAAGGACATCAACCTGATCACAGATGTTGTGTTTTGCCACCTGCTCTGCTCTGCTTGACTCCTTCCACCTGACCAGCTCCTGACCAACACATCATCAGCTCCTGACCAACACATCATCAGCTCCTGACCAACACATCATCAGCTCCTGACCAACACATCATCAGCTCCTGACAAAGTCGACCTGCACCTGACAAACCACACATGTGTTTCTCATTGCGTCCAAAACGTTACCTATCGGAGGGAACATTTTGGCCGAAGGGGGGACTGTAGTGAACAACAGTGTGGATTTGTGCATTTATATTGAATAAATGTGGAGCTACCCTAAATTCCTTTCTCCTCCCAGAGAAGATGGGGAGGGGTCAAAGTTGCTTTCTCTAAGTGCTAGCCCGACCATAAAACTGGCACCCTTTTGATTCCGAAGCTGATAACGCGGGGCCTGACTGTTAAACTGACAAAGGGACACGAGCCAGCCATTGGCATCTCCTGAACAGCCTATCAAAACTTACCCACCACACACGTTTCCGTGGAAACTGACCTTATTCTTTGTTTTATTACCACATCAAAGGGATACTCCTTGTCTCACCTAAGTGTGACATGTTCCAGACACTGAACTTTGGATGACAAAGGACTGCAGTCTCCAAAATACTCAAAGCATTTAATTAAGTTAATTAAATCTTTAGTTGCCTGAATACGTTTGCCTCTATTGGAGTAGTTATGTTAACTGTTGTTGCTATCTGTTGTTGATATTAGTGCTGAAAAGAAGTTACTTGTGCAATGTTTTTATTTTAAGCAAGACACTCCTTCATCTAATGTAATCCAAGCTTTCCTCATGTAACCTGAGCTCCCCCAAGTGGACGAAATAAGTATTACATGCCCTCGTCGGAAATGCGGTTAAATGTATAAAAATCCTGACCACTAATGTGACAATTGTTTCCTGTTACCAAATGCTTAGAACAGTACAACCGTTCAACCATTGAGGTTCGATTGTGGAAAATATTTGATTATAATACGTGCAAATAGATTTCTTTTCTTTAGACATTAAGTTTAGAAAGGCAGTTCCTGGGGAAACCTGAGACGCCCCCTGGGGAACCACGCCCCAGGCAACAAAAGAGCGACACGCGACCTGCTCGCGAGACTCTTCACTCTTAGTCTCTAGACTCTTAGTCTCTTCCCTCTGGATGCTTCGGCACGCGCGTGGCGTGCCTCGCCAGGCAACACGCCCAGACTCGGCCAGCGAAACAAACAGGCCTTTGTTCGCCTGAAGCTACACACCTGAAGTGCCGAGACATCGATCTGCCTTCAGTTTGTTTTATTTTCTTTATTTCTTTTGTTTGTTAAAGTTATGAGTCCGTTAAGTTACACTGGACTAATTCAGGAACGACCAAGTTCCATTTTAAGCCTTTTTCGTCGAGCCAACTTCACCGAGGTCAGACCAAGCCACGTGGTCTCGCCAGCTACAACCAAGGAAACCTGCAAACAGCCGAATTGCCAGACGGAGGAGGCATTTTCAATCAGACACGGAGAACCCCGAAGAATCCCTTGCAAAAAGCCAGGATCGGCAGCTAGCGTGGGACCCGTGCAACAGGCCAAAAGCAGACTGTCGACAAGCAGTAAGACTTAACACACGTCCTGTGATCAGATGTCCATTTTAACTCCTAAACTATAGCATTAGTTTACTTTCATTAGCTCTTCTATGCCGTATGAGTCAAATGCTTCCCACAATCGAACCTCCAGGCTCATTGTTCAGCAAATGTTTATGTTCCCTGTATCCAACCATCTTTTATCACCTTAGTTAGAGAATAAATTCACTGTAATATAATCAAGAGCTGTGTGTGTTGCCTATTTATAGTTCCTGCCAAGAGATTTACCCTTTAGATATGAGACTGACTGACTGACTGATTTAAGAAAATTGAGCGATTATTAACTAACTGATCACTAGTAATAATTGTATAATTATTCAAAACTACCTAGAGTCCGGAGACTCTAGGATTATAACAACTCCGGTGGTGCCCTTTACGAGGAAATTCTGATTTTATGAATAATAATTCATAATTGGGTATCAATTCTCATAAATTTATTAAAATGCATAACTAATAAATTTAGGTCCACTACAATTGTGAGGTAATTTAAATAAAATGTTTGTTTTTTGGCTTATGTTTGTTTAAAAGGTGGAAAACATAAGTGGGACTAACATCGTATATATGAGACATCATACCTCACTCTCCTTGTTTGGACATCAGCTGCAGAGGCAAACCGTGGCCGTCTTTTCACAAGCCTCTTAGTGCCATAGTGCTTGTTTGTTTGTATCATGTCTGTGGGAGGGAAAAATTTACATGATTATAATACAGCCTTTACAATATTTGCTTTAATGTCTGCACACAACTGTAAACTCAGAGATCAATTGCATAATCTTTGTTTACCCTGGAAACTGAGTGTATATGACTGTGAACCTGCGGTGAACTCCACAACATCTTTCTCATTGTCCAGAAACCTCTGCTCCAGTTTGGCGCTGTCCATGTCTGCTGCTTTGTGTCCACCAGTCTGCCGCACAAGAAAGACAAGTCTGTTTTTAACTCAAAAAACATCTACATATTCAACTGAAATGGTAGATGACCAATCAGGAGCCAGCTTGTACGGTATGCGGATAAGAGATTATCGCCTACAGAATCTGTAAATTTATAAACATGAATTTCAGTGAAATTGTTGTTTCCTGCAAACAAAACTAGCTAGGGAAACACAAGTGCTTTTAAAATTATTTATTTGCATTGTTTGTAAGTGTCATATGAGAAGATCGACCCCACTCTCATGTATGTCGCTAGCAGCCGGTTAGCGTAGCTTAGCATAAAGAAAGGAAATGCGGAGAAACCGCTAGCCTAGGACTGTTTGATGGTAACAAAATCCGCACACATAGGACAGGCTAGCTGTTTCCATTTGTTTTCTGTCTTAACGCTAAAATAAGCTAAGCAAACAGGATGATGGCACTAGACTCATTGTCTTTAATTCCTTTGTTGTTGCTTAATACCGAATTTCTTATTGTCAAAAAACAACATTTCTTTATTTTTACCAAGCGGGAAGCTTCCGGTTAGACAACTGATGTGGACGAGGAAGTCCATTAAACCTGCATTCTATCGAACGGCCAGCGGGGGGTGACTCTTCTGGTTGCAAAAAGAAGTCCGGCTCCATTAGAAATAATAGTAAAATGACCCTACTTCTCTGCTGATTATTACCAATGAGTTTATGGTCTGAATCCCTAGTTTCAAGTCTTCTGATGTTCATTTAGTAAATTATGGTCCTATTTAGAGGAAAATAGACCATAAAGCAGAGTATGCTTCAGGGCGGGATTATCTATGATTGACAAGTCATTACCATGGCAACCTGTCGATGCGGCTAGAGTGACTTGTACCCATGGCACTGTGTAAATTTAACCAGCGCCGTTGAAAAAGCTTTTTAGGAGTTGGCTGTTCACTTTCTCATTTAGTTTTAAGACTTTTGTTCGCTAGACGAAATTGTCTGCCCTGTTAAAATGACAGTTATTGTGAATTACAGATGCAGCTAGATAAGCAAGCTAGCTAGCTCCACCATTTCGTCCAAATATGGTCACATCCGTTGCTGCTGGTTGCAGAAATATTTATTGTAACATTGTTGTAATGGATACTGCTTGATATGAAATTTATATTTTGGTATGATTCTCAAGTTTGGTGACATGTAGTGTCAAAATTTGTTGAAAATGTTCTGTTGTGTTGAATGAAAATTAGAAGTCTACTGTTGACCACAGCTCAGACAGTTAATACAGTTAACATTTCATCATTCTTCCTTGATCCATTTATTAATCTCCATATTTAGCTTTTTTAGACCGTAAATATCTCATGTCTCAGAACACAACGCAATTTGAATTTAGAACAGTAAATTAAAGTTTAAATCAATTATAATACTATACAGTTACTATACAAATGCACAAAATGTCAGAATGTGCCTTAGAAGTTCAGTGCTTGAATTCATGTGAATGGATTGTGAGAAACAATGTGAATATGATGAACCTAACCAGATACACAATTAGATTTTCATCAGATCCTGGGCTTTTACCCGACACTTATCTTTTATTCCTAATTTATTTTATTTTATGCTTACACGACGCTCTGAAAGTCTAAAATCTGTAATTTCACGTAATGTTCCTTTCAAAAGTGTAAACCTGGAGGACAAAACTGTTAAGAAGGGCTCAGCTTTAGAAGTTGCGAGAACTGATCAGCTTTAGCTGAGGGAGCTCCAAACGCCTTTAAAACTGTATTTCTTAATTCAACAGTCCAATACGAGCATGACAAATTCAAATTTATGCAATCTGGCAACAATCTTCGCTGCCGCTAATCTCTTTCCTCAGAGATGCTGCCACGCTGTCTGATCACACAGCTCAGCCTGTGTTGCGTCATCTCTTTTGATTTTTTTGTATGGCTATAGAGCCATAAAAGATTAGATTAAAACTTTAATGATGTGCATGGATGGCAGCTTTAGCAACAGAAGAGAGCAGGTAAAAAAGAAACGTCTATCATAAACAAAATCGGGTGAAACAGAATATAGAGACTTGCAGGGTTATGTAAACACGTAGTCATCAGTTCAGCGCAAGATTAGTAGATCATGTGTGGGAAGGATGAAGTGGGAAGTTCAATCCTGGTGTGATGTGAGTTTTTAAATTGCTGTCCCTTTAAAAGGCAGAATCTGACACTGCTCCATTCCACGACAACTGTCAATGTCGACATGGACCCACCCAGCATAGCTCATATAGCTGATTGGAAGGCTATTACTACAATATAAATTCCACTTCAGAGCAAAGCTTGGACAGCCTCACTTCTTACTCCATCATGTGCAAAAGTTACTATAGGAAGTTTGCTGCAGGGAGTTGTTGTCACTACAGCGGCATTTAGGGTTGTGGTACGCCTCTAAAATGTCACTGAAATAGGAGGTAAAGTGGCCATTTTTAGCCTGAATCAGCTCTACTAACTCCGCTTGCAGAGGCATGTTGTCAGTGCGCATATCTTCAATGAAACTGTTGCCTGCTGCTGCTGCTTTTTCAGGCTGTTCCTCTGTTTGCTAACACTGTTATCTAGTACAAACTGTTCAAGGTTTCAACAAGGGATATTTACGACAGAAAATTTATGACAGGGCATTATTGGAGAGTAATGACTTCAAACCTTGATCAGCCTTAAAACGGTCAGATAATATATGGCTCTAATATCAGTATTGCAGATTGGGGTAGCATCCCTATTTCTGCCATTGTTACTCCATTGTTTTTTAGCTTTATAAACTAATATTATAAAAAAAATAGTAAACACGTCTTAATGTAATTGAAAAAAACAATTTAGTGTGGCAATATGACCTTCAAAATGCACTAACTGTTTTTAGGCCAAATGGGGGCAGAGAAAAAACTGTAAACACTTAAATGTCCACCTGATGAATGTAGGTCCAATGTTCACTCTCCTTTTAGCTGTGCTGACTATATTTTTATACCCTTGAAATTATTTAGATTTTGTGAACAGATGTGCACTGTGTCGTACTCTAAGCCCCCCCCGTGAAAATTCCTGGCATTCCCTCACGTCTGCATTATCCACCACTAAAATAAACGTTACTCACAGCGTACATGTTCCACTTTCCGAACTCATCCTCCCAGTACCAAACCCACTCAGTGGTGTGGATGAAGGTCGGCTCGAGCAGAGAGTTAACGGTAGAGAGTCGCGCACTTTGTCCAGTCCACAGGTCATCGTGTCAAAATGCACAGGTGGGCTGCTGCTGCTACTACAGACATCAAATTGAGTAACAATTAATTCATACAATTCAATTCACACACAAACACACACACTAGTTTGCTGTAACATCAGATCCATATTGGAGTTTTCCCTATCCAATGAAAAATTACCTTTGAACAAACAAAGGAGGAAAACATATTGTTTATTTCTTGTAATTATGTAAAATGTATAAGTTGTCTTCCCGGTACAGCATGAGTGATTAACAGATCTTTAATTGTGAGTTCATGCTATACCAGTCAGAAGAAAAATATGTCCCACCCTATTCATCAAGTGAAAAATATCTTTCTCTCCACCACTAATATGTCATTTGTTTACAGCGAATAATCTCTTTCTGCTTTATGTCCCACCCATCAAACCAGTTTTACATGGAAATGCACTTAATATCTATCTTATTCATCAGTTTTCTAAAAATAACGTTGAAAGCTAACGCTCTAATTTTACTTGACAGCTTGTGGACTCTCAGTCTAAAGCGTGCGGTTTCAGTGCCACACCCTGCCTTAAAGAAGATCGCTGTAGATTCATATACTGTACAAACACAAGAGTGGTATTGATCTCCTCATTGAACTTGTGGCAAAGAAGTGAATAAACTATTCACTATTTCTTTAAAGAGCAATTTTCTCAGTCTGAGTTTCAGAGCCCACAGATGGCGTGAGTAATGTTTCAGAAGGCGTTGCCTCTTTAGCAGGAAAAAAAGAACAGGAAATACTTGAAGTTAAGCATGAAAGTGATCTTCTTTAAAAGTGAAACCCTACAACTGTAAACTGGTGGTTATACACCTTGAGATGGTTGACTTTAAGAACAACTTTTCCCCAGGAATACAATCTCATTAAATGTCTGTAGAGTGTACCTGTATGTGTTTTTAGGGTCACAGTAGTCCTTCTCTATCGTCTCATTATCGGGCAAGGCGTTCCATTGATCATCCTTTTTGACCTGCCATCGGTATGGCATCTTGTCATGAGCTTTAAAACACCGGTCTGAGGACACACCGGCCATTAAACAAGATTAATGTCACCAGGATCAAACTTTTTGTGACAATCACTCTAAAGAACACATAGCCATTAATTATATTACCATTTCGCATGAGGATCTATGATCTATGATGACTACTCACCCTCATGTTTACAGTGTCCTTTGATGAAGTACATGCATATCTCCGTTTTATCTAAAGGAAATAAACAAAACGTGCATTACTAAGTGTTGTTTTTTTGTTTTTGTTTGCAGAGTTCTGTCAGAAAACAGTTGGAATGAAAGCTGGTGTAGTTTACCTCTCACAGGCCTGGGCCTTTCTCGTCTGCGCTGTCCATCACCGCTGTTTGCATCATCGTGGACGGAGCGGGTTGGCTGCAGCGGCTGATGGTCTCCACCGTGTCCTCTGACCGCTGTTGAAGTTCTATTCCGATTTCTGCTCTGACCATCGTCGCTGCTCGCGTCAGTGTCGTTGGCAGCACCAGAAATGTCACTGGTGGAAGAGGTCAGTTGCAGCCAGTCACCGCTGCCTTCGTTTGGTCCACTGTCGGCGAACAGATCGAAGAAGTCACTACAGCTGTCACTAATGGAAGAGCTTCGTTGCGGCGGTTGACAGTTGCCGTGGTCTCCTCTGTTGCTCCTGTTTCCTCTGTTGCCCCTGTTTCCTCTGTTGCCCCGGTTGCCTCTGTTGCCCCGGTTGCCCCTGTTGCCCCTGTTCCCTCTGTTCCCTCTGTTGCCTCCTCTCCCTCTGTACCACTGCCTTTGTTCGAAATTCAGACCATCGTCGCCGCTCGCATCAGTGTTGTCGGCAGCAGCAAAGAATTCACCAATGGATGACTTTGGCTGACGCGCCTGACGGTTGGCCCTGTTGCTCGCATCATTGCTGTACCTCAAAGCCGCTTTATTTGCATAGACAAACTTCAAGGAGCCAATGAGGCTGTCAGGCACGCCTTTATCCAGCAGGCTTTTTAACGGCTGTGGAGCGTAAAAATCATGATTCTTGGAGCAGCTGCAGTCGCGGTTCAAGTACTTCTCACAGATGTGCAGTCTCTTGCAATCAAAGCCTTCCTGACACCGGCCAAACTCCCCGTCACCATTGTTGTAATCGTAACATATCTGGTATAGGGAAGATAAGACAAGAAGGCAAGGTAGTTACAATCAAGCAAAGCAAGGACACACGGTCAGAAAACAACCATCTGTTGTAATATAAACATTTTATTTTCAGTGAACAACATCTTTAAGAGGATATATACAGATATTATCCAGCTAAAGATAAGTGTGTAACAAAGTCAAACATTTACAGAATCAGTTTACCATTCCATACACTGAGGCAACAGCTTTTAGGCTACATCCACACTATTACTTTAAACCAAAACGATCTCCATCCACACACCAGCGTTGTATCTCCGCTGTTGCAGAGGATTCGGCGAAAAAAGAAGGTAATACTACAGACGAACGGAGAATTGTAAAGGACAAATGGTTTGCACGGACAGACAACGCAGGTGGGCTACTAATGATTTTCACTCACACTGCACCCTCTCCTTATTCTTCAAAGGACATCTAAGTGCAGGGCTTAAAGCAAGAAAATCTTATGTGCCTAAAATGTGTTCTGGGGTTACGACAAAGACGGAGGGTCGGGGGCAAGAGTGTAACTTTGTGTTGAAAAGTGGTGAGGACATAGGGACTTAGATTAGTGGTGTGATGATACACTTAGCTCACAAGACATTGAAGGAATCTTAAATGTGGAAATATATGATGTGAAGGGTCTGGGGGTCCGCCCCCAGAGAAATTTTTAGCATTAAATGTTTCATTTCCTGCATTCTGGTAAATTTCTTTGCCACCACCTATAATCAGTGCTTGATGTGGGGAAAAAGGGGGTTGGTATGAAGGGCTGGGCAATATGGAGAGGGCAGGTCCCGGTACGCCAAGGAGTAAAATGCTTCACCGGTGGATTACATTCCGATAAAAAAAAGCCTTGTTTTGTTGGCAAAGGTCCAGACGATCCAATCCAGTAAAATATTTAGTCCAAAACGCATTAATATATCAATAAATACACACGAATTGCTGTTTTATATCAGCCTAACTGCAGTTAGCATGTAAAAAAAAAATAAGTGGCTACATGCTAAACTTTTGATTGACAAGATGTCAATCAAAAGTTTAGTTGCCCCAATAGAATCTTCCATGCCCTGTTTACAGCCTACAATAGCCAATGAGTGTCCAGGTAGTTGGGAAGTGCCAGTCCCCTTTCTTTCATGTATACACCGAGCCACCAATTGTGCTGAGGACTGGCGCTTCACACACTCATATTATATCACATACCAGTTAAAAAAATATAGGGCATTTATAAAGTGTTGCGTTTATAATTTTGTTCAGTGTAGCAACAGTTTGCTAACCCACCACCTAGCCAATATTAGTTATATTACATGTGTGTCAGTTGTTGCTCTATATCATGGCATTTGCCATGTTATTGGATTTCTCCAGAAGTTACCCAAGTGTGTATAGGGCAGTCGGAATGTGTGTGCGGAATGTGTGTGTGGGTGAGCAAATGACTGCGAGCGAGCGGCAGAAAGTGACTGTATAAGTTAGCTTAGCGGACGAAAAGTCAGTTGTCAGTCTGGCAGTGAATGTACATGTAGGTGACAGTGTGTCCGTTAATAAAAGTATGTCTGTTGTCCAACTGCGGGAAAAGTGAAGGCTGTTGGAGCTAGCCAACATCTCCTCTGGGCTTCCGGTCCTGGATGCTGAGCCGGAAACAGTATGATTTATGGATGTTATGTAACGTTTGTTAAATTGTTAGGAAGTAAGGTTCATTAGCCGCATGTCATTACTTTTTTTTTTTTTTTTTTTTAAACCTGTCCTGCCCAGCAGCCTGGTATAGAATATAATGACCTGGATACCATATTGTGCCACACAGATTTTACTTTAACAAGTGAGTATTAAAATACTCCTTTGTCTCTTTTATTATTTATTTAAATATGTATTGATTTATTGATTTTGAGCCACATGTCATTACTACCTACTTGTCCAGAGATGGGAACATCAGGCACAGGCTTAGACTAAACTCTCTCCTAGGGCTGTGCGTTATGACGATAGGAAGATGCCTATCGTTAACAATTGTGCTCTCTCGTTAATTTCGTTGTGTAGCAAATTCCACACTTTACCATAATATTTCTCAAAGGGGACGGCGCTTTGCACTGCAGTGAAGCTAGTTTTATGTTGGAGATTCGGAGTCGAACATCTAACTTGAAACTCAAAACTTGCAACATCTGTGGCATTGTGCTGTGTGATGGAACTGCACATTTTGAGTGGCCTTTTATTGTGGCCAGCCTAAGGCATACCTGTGCAATACCCATGCTGTCTGATCAGCATCTTGATATGCCACACCTGTGAGGTGGATGGATTATCTCGGCAAAGGAGAAGTGCTCACTAACACAGATTTTGACAGATTTGTGAACAATATTTGAGAGAAATAGGCCTTTTGTGTACATAGAGAAAGTCTTAGATCTTTGAGCTCAGCTCATGATGAATGGGGGAAAAAACAAAAGTGTCGCGTTTATAATTTTGTTCAGTTTAGCAACAGTTTACTAACCAACCACCTAGCTAATATTAGTTACATTACATGCGTGTCATTGTTCACTCTATATCATGGCATTTGCCGTGTTATTGGATTTCTCCAGAAGTTACCCCACCTTTATGATGCAGAGAAATAGAGTAGAAATAGAGTTAATGTTGGAAATTAACTCATGATATTTTATTGAATTTACAAAAAAAGTTCTATACCTGGATATATATTGTTATTGGAATATGAAATTACCTATATCGGGATATGAATTTTTTTGTAATATCGCACAGCCCTACTCCGTCCTGTACACATACTGTACATCTTGATATTTAAAATACATTATTTTCAGATGAGTCTGAAAAACTCTATTATGAAAATAAATTAAAATGGTGACCATAGAGGAGCTGAGATTAGTAAAGAAAATTAGGGATGCTAACTAGTCTTTTACAATAGGAATTTCTTTTATATTTTAATGTACAAATGAAATGCTTGGTATTTATGCAGAAGGGAGTGAATAAATAAATATGCTGGTTCTCACATGTTGCCTACATTTATGTTAATTTCTATAATAATAAAAGCTGTAAGTCATATTAGCATTCATCAAAAACTAACTAAATGACTTTTCCCAGATCTAATGGTTATAGTTCATCTTTTTACAGGGACTTTTTGGGTGTTGTTTACTAATCATCTGCTCTAGCTTTCCCAACTTTTTGTACACAGATGTGGTAATAATGGTCCAAAATGATGTGAACGTATTTTTGTTTATGCACATCCAGGGTGCAAGCGCATAAAAAATGTTTCCTTTCATCTCTGCTGCTACAACTCCGTCTTAAGGGAAACACTAAATGAGATTTGTATGTCTGCATGTAGTCAGACTCACAGGAGGCAGGAGCGTGTTGTCGCTCTGCATTAGCAGTGTGCACAGCTCCGACCTGCTCAGACTCTCCAGCCCGTGCTCTCTCAGTATCACCTCATTGCGACCAGAGTCCAGCTCATGGGAGAAGTTGCATCCTCTCCTGTTATCAAAGAACACAACATGCACAGTTCAGTCACAAGTTGTTGTTTTTTTTTTTTAAACAGTTCCGGCTTAATGTTTTGTTTTAGCAAAAAGGATATATGATGAGTGAATATAAAAGTAAATTATGTGTTCATGTGGTGGCAGGAAAGTCTAACATCTAAGTCAGTTGTTAAATAGTGCTGCTGAAAAATAAAGCCAAGTATTTAGTAACACATTTAATCAAATATGAGTTATAGCAGTGGTTCTCAAACAGGGGCCCTGGATGTTGAGCTGTCCTAAAGTTGCATGAATGATTCATGTGGTGACATAAACAAACAAAACTGCTCTGATGCTAGCAGGCATATTTTGATAACCAGAATCTTGATTGTTCCCCTGAATTATTGAAGATTTGGGGGGAGGGGCGTGACGGACAAAGTTTGAGTTTTATGTTAGCTTAGCATTAACGTTAATCCTGAAAACAGGAGTCCACACCATTGCCAAGCGAAACTACACTTTTTTGCACCCAGCCAAGAAACAGTCCAGCACTTAACTTAACACCCATAAAGGCAAACCCTGTAGTTTATAAACTTTAATATAACATTTTTAGCTCTAATTCAACATGTTAGTTCGTCCGCTTTGGCGGTAATGTGCCTGGAAAGCAGGTTTTGTTTACTATGAACAGAGTCAAGCTAAGTTAACTGTTTCTAGCCTTTGAGCTAAGCTAAAATAACCGGCTGCTGGCGGAGGAGGCAACTGTGGTGTCAGTGTGTCAGATATCTTGTCCTTGGCTGTGTAACTTAAGTAATGACTCGCTCCTACCTAACTACCCAGGCCAATGTCGACATGCACCTAATACAGAGAAAGGGGTACTCCTAGGTCTGCCAGTGACCTGAACGTGACTTGTGTGTGACCCATATGCGTAGGAGCCATTATACATGAGGGAGACATGCCCCCCCCCACATTTCAAAATCTATGTTTTGTCCCCCTCACTTTTTTTTTGGCGATTTTGGAGACGGCTCATAGCCAGGCGGTTTGAGAGACTAGTTAATCAATCAATCACATAATTCCGCATCAGACACATTAAACAGTTGAAACGCGGACAAAAATCACATAGGCCTATAGAAAACATGCGTCAGAAGGCAAATGTGGTGCTGAAAAGTTAAGGGAGAAAAAAAAGAGTTTGCTTCAGGTTCCTTTTTTAAAACTGCAGCCTACTTTTACTCTTTACTCCAGTATTTTCTGTGGGCCTGTAATCTACTTTTAATTTTGCTACATTTTCCATTCATACCTTCATAACTTCACCAGTCTGTAATCTGCTATAGGCTTCGTTAACCAAATGAGCTGTCAGCCAGGCTGTGTGCACGCAGTTACGCAGAAGAGCGCCAGGTCTCCTTTGTGGTACAGAGACGGGCGCTTATCACAGATATGAATGAGCTGGGCAGATGTAAACATTTAGAAAATCAGGCAAATACCTTTTCAGTTTAAGGCTTTATTGTTCTACTGAAATCTAGCGAGCGCACACCATGGCACTGCTGGCTTTCACTCAGCAGCTACCAGCTGTTATTTATTCAGGAAACAATCATTTTTGAGATGCAGAGAGAAAGAAAATATGGTGGATAAAACAGTCCTGTTGGGCTTTATGCATGAGGCACAGCTTCCTATGTATGTAGGTTTACTCTGCTTCAACAAAGAGCTGCTCTCGTGTTATTGCCACAATCATTCTTTGCGTTGTAAAGATTATTTAGATGCTTTAGGAATAATCAGATTGTTTTGGCAGCCTGTGCTACTGCAAAGCAAGAGGTTTGATTGACTACATGTCCATAATAAAATTTACATGCAACAATAGTCAGCTGGGCAGCAAGATGATATTTTAAAGTGATCTTATCAATACCTTCATGGAGTTTTAAAAAAGGAAAATAATTATTAAACAGAAATAGCTAAAGATAATCAGCCAGCAAAGCAAATTGCATTCCCTAGAAATCAAATCAAACCTGATGAACAGCAGATAAAATATATTATTATCCTTTTACATGAGTAGGTTTGTCATTTTTGTCTTTTACTTTTTCTTGAGTAAAGATTTTGAGTACTCCACCCGCCACTGGCCAGCAGCACCAGTACAGAACATGACATGGTGAACATGAGACAGACAGCAGAGATGAGGTCAATAGCAGAACTGTATTTTAATGGCTCATTTAGTTATGTACTCTACTTGCATAAAATTCTCAAGAATGCAATAAAGACCCAGAGGCCCCAACAAATGCTTTGTCTGGAGAGCGGGTTGACCAGGGACAAACTCCTGGGCCACTTTTTTGCTTCTGTCCGTGACCATCCCTGACATTAAAAACTTGTGCCATGAGGTGTGTATGTGTCTCTGCTACGTGTCCATAAATAATTTGAAAGTAGTCAAAATGTTCACACAGAGATGAGCATCCTACAGTATTTTAAGAGGAAGAGGACAGTGGACATAGGTCACAGGAGCAGGAGTAGAAAAAACTGAGGAGGACGAGCTTGTAAGTTGTATGGATAGCTACTAGACATAGTAAATTCTAAAACTCACATAGTAAAAAGACTTTGTTATTCCAATGGCATGTCATCAGAGTTTGCTTTGAAGACAGTTCTGTGTTCACAAACATGTGTTGCAGGGAGAGTCAGGGCCAAGTGACACAGGAAATATCACAGACAGCTACATCAACTGTAACATTAGGATAACTGAATACATTTGTACTGTGGCTACATTAACTAGCAGCTGTTCCATGTTTTTTTATGGTATGTAGTTGGTTTTGATCTAGTTATCTTTTACATTTATTCATTTAGCTGACGCTTTTATCCAAAGCAACTTACAATTGCTATTTATGTCAGAGGTCGCACACCTCTAGAGCAACTAGGGGTTAAGTGTCTTGCTCAGGGACACAATGGTGGATGGGTCACAGTGGGAACTGAACCCAGGTCTCTCACACCAAAGGCATGTGTGTTCTATTCTCCATCTTCTGTCACTACAAATACCCTCTTTCAGCCACACTAATAAGTACATTCTGTTTCCAAAAGTCATTAAAAATGAGCATGTAATCAGAATCAGAAGGAGCTTTATTGCCAAGTAGTGTTTAACACATAGGAGGAATTTGTTTTGGTGATGAGGTGCTACATGTAGACAAACATACAGTTGACAATGCAGTTACATAATAATATTAAAAAGAATAGAGAACAATAATACAACTATTTGCAGACCATTTATCTATCAACTATTTAAGTGCTTTATTTAATTAAAAAAAAAAAATAATAATAATAAATAACCTGTAGGCCTACCTCACTTGTTACCCACCCACAGTGAGTCCCCTTTAGGCCAGTTCCTTCACAATGCCAATGTTTGTTCTGGCTCGGTTTGTTTTTTACCACCGGTGAGTGCCATGGGACTTCGCCAACAGTACGTTATGTGAATGCATCAGGTGTGGCGAGGCCACACATAGAAATTTATAGGCTATAATTACAAATTTAGACAATAAAACGTTAATTTAAAACAACATGTATTCGAAGGAGTCAGCCTGACTCACAGGCCTCTCTGGCTGCATGTCTAACACCAACAACCTCAGGCAGACAGGCCCCTTTAACTTGACTCACATTAGGCCTTGTACAAGCAAACATACTTACCTCAGCTGAGAGAACTGACATGATCCGATGAAGAGGAAGTTTTTACACAGGTGTAGCCCCTTGCATGGTCCCTGACAGTCTCTGGTTCTGCACAGTCTCAGTTTGGTCCTGGCCACCACCTTCGGCTGCCCGAAGGGACAGCACGACGCAAATTTGTCCTGGTTACAAATGATGTCCGAAACATTGGTTGAATCAGGAACATTAAACACCAAATAATCAGTTTCAACTGCTCCTTGATTGGCGCAGATAAACTTCAATATTTCCGACTCCTTCATTTTGACGCTCTCCCTGTGTTTCCTTCCAGCCTCGGACAACACAGAAACTGCAGACTGAACGCTGACTTCCCGGAGGAGAAAGGATCAGTATCATTTCTGATGATTGGAAACCGAAACTCAAATATGTTCAGCCTGGGTTTAATGCTGTAACGCAGCTGCCGTCCGCTTGGGGGCGCCCCTGTGTTACCTCACAGCCCTTCAGCCATGTGAGGACAGAGCTCCCTCTGCTTTAGTTCAACATTAGGGGTAAATTTCTAACTAATATTTTAAATCTGAAAAGTACCAGAAAAGTCCACATTTAATTGTCCAATATAATATAATATAAATGTATCATATTTAAAGACAGAATGAAACTGAAATGTCACTGCAAAAACACACTTTGTTATCAAATTCAATCATCTAAGTCAAGTGATACTTTCTGCCTCTGAGGACCGCCTATGTCAGCGGGTAGCAATTATTTTACTTGTTGCAATGGTTTAAAAAAATAAAAATGATGTATTATTAATCCACTGGCATCATAAAAATACCATAAAACATGATTTGATCATTTAAATGCTGCAATCTGTATTTTATGTTTCTGAGTACAGAATGTTATCGCTTTTCTCTCACTTTTATTTAAAAGTGTCTGTAATCTGATTACTGCTTTCTGCAGTAGGTGTGTAAGATTACATTTGCCACTTTTGAAATCCCATTAATGTAATCCTATTAATGTAAAATCTGTCTCACTCCATATGTCACCCCTGGGGTTCCTTAACTTTTTAAGAAATCACTGCAATTCGGTACATTTAAAGTTTTATCCTTACAGCTGCCAGAATTATTATTTGTTTGAGAGTCTGAGAACAGAATCAAGCCCAGTTTCCATATCAAAAATACAACAAATTTGAAATTAATACTTTAGCATGTAAATATAGATATGCCTGTGAGAAAACATAGAAACAAACGCCTGGACCAGTGATTGAAATGTAAAATCATTGCAAAGTTGATGAAAACCTAATCAATTATTTTGTGTTTTAAATCCTGTCCTTATTTTAAATATTGTCACATGTTTATTCATGGTAAAAGAAATCCTAATTACATCCACTATCAATGAATAAATAAAGTAAAATGTGCCATGCCACAATCCACTCATTCACCAGGTCTCAATTTGCAGCATCCACATGAATGTTCGTCATCCCTCAGCTTCACTCATCTTCATTTGCCATGAATTTTGAAGCTTTGAATCCAAATTCATTGTTAAATCCTACCTGGAAACTCACAATCTAGAAATGGGGCATCTCCATGGTCCAGTAATCTAAAATGCATTCCATGTTATCAAGGAGGTCCAGGCTGGGGCACTTTATCGCATCCACCGACTGGTTTTTAACCAACAGGAAATCATCACAACACTTTCTTTTGGGAGTATAGTGATCGAGCCAGAATAGTGTCAGAGACTTGGAGAATCCATGCCAAGGAGCACTGAAGCTGTTCTGGAGGGCCTGGTGGCCTGACACCTTACAATTTTCTGTTGTTAGGTTAGTAAATTTAGCTCTGTGCGCCATCTGTGAAGGGAGGGTTGTGAAGGTCATTTGGAGTCACGTTTCTGCCTACCACGTAAATATAAGTTCAAAAATCATGCTCCTTTTAGCGCTGTTTTGGTCTCCACCAGCTCCTGAGGGAAATATTCGGAACTTTAGCTGCTAAATGCTCCGCTAAGCTCACCAGCTAGTTGCTAAATTTATCTGGATTGATAGTGTACAGTTGGTTTATCAAAGCTTTAACATGAAAACAGAAGCTAAGAAAAAAACAAGGTTGTTAAAAGAAGTGAGACAGTAACAGTAAAGTTGTGCTATAAAATCAAAACACTGAGCTAAAAGAGGCTAAAATGCTTTGTAATACTGAGGGGAAGCGCAGAGTCAGGTGATCAATCACAATGTCACATAAATATTTCTGCCAGTGAATGTTTCATTCAGATATGCAGACATTTGCATTCCAACATCATAAATGCTAATAATTGCACAGTATGTACATGGACAGAGAATTTTACCCTTCTGGCAAGCTGGACCTCAGCTGGTCCCTGGACCTCACTTTGACCACTGCTAATTAGTAGACCTACCTATTCTGTTTCATGATATTTGTGGGAAAAAAATAAATTTAAAAGCATTTAGCAACTAAAGAGACAAAATATTTCCCTTAGGAGTTGGTGGAGACCAAAACAGAGCTAAAAGGAACATGATTTTTGGGCTTACATTTATCAGGTAGGCAGAAACATGACTCCAAGTTAATTTTAATGTTGTTATGTATCTGCTAGAGTTGGCCGATTTCTAGAATCACCATTAACTTTTTTAAGCAGTAGCCTATATTCCCTTTTGTCTTCTGTGCTATAGCCTAGAACATGTAATATTCATTTTCTTATAGTGGGCTATTATTTTAATAGCCTAAACTTTTTATATCAGAGCTTTTGTATAGGCTAAATGAGTGGAAGTCAATGACTAACTTTAAAGAGACATTTTCATAGGCTAGCCTACTTTGTGGCATTTGGTCTGTAGAGTAATAGATTAGACCATTATAATATGTAATGGAGTAGGCTGATATTCCTTTAGATCTCCTTTTAGGGTTTACACTTTTACTGTTGTGTTTGGCACTGCATGCTGTATTAAAACAGATTAGCCTATTTTGTAACCACATTTTACATCAAGCTTTGATTAAAAACACAAACCGAGAAGCATCTATCTGTCAGCCTGTAGTTGTGTCTCTGCCTCGCGACCTGCTGCGATTTCCTGCTACGGGTTTCCCTTTAAAAGGGGCAAGGCTCATGCTGGGAATTCACGTCATTTCGCCGTTTTACACACATCCAGATCAATGAGAGAGAGAGAGAGAGAGAGAGAGAGAGAGAGAGAGAGAGAGAGAGAGAGAGAGAGAGAGAGAGAGAGTCCGTCGGTCCTCTCTCTCTTTTCAGTCTTGCTCTTCCAGGAAGGGATTATTAACCAGCACGCTGCCGACATATGAAGGGAAAACACACGCAGACAAAAGAAGTTTTCACACCGACAGCCGCGCTATGGAGCCGGCCAGCAGATAAAAACAGAAAAGAAACAAACGGAGGCTACATGAAAAGACAACTTCTCCCACAATAACAAGCCGAGCAGTGGGACTGCCGCCGCCGCTGCTGCTGCGCGGGGTTTCTATAGGAAAGCAGAGGAGATAAAGAAGAGAGCACAACGGAAAAGTGGAAGGAGAAGGAGAGAAGTTGACGGGAGATAATGTCAGAAACTCCTCCGCTACGAACAAGGTAAGAGCGTCGGCTGGTTTTCTCCTCTTT